AGTCACCTCTCCACCTCGCTCAACTTCATCGACTTTGAAAAGGCCTTCAGCAGACAGCGTCGATCGAGAGGTGATTTGACAACTACTTCGCTACTAAGGGGCACCATCGACAATTATACATCTCATCCAACAGTTATACGACAGTTCTGCATGCCAAGTAATCCACAACGGGAAACTTACGGAATCCTTCAAAGTGACGACGGGAGTAAGACAAGTTGGTTGTCTACTATCGCCAGTGTTTTTCCTGACTGTGGTAGACTGGATGATGCGACAGACAATAGGCAATGAGGAAACAGGCATAAAATGGACCCACACAAAAAACTTGGAGGATCTGGACTTCGCCGATGTGACGTAAATGTCTGATTTCTCACAAACTGGAAGATATGCGAGTGAAAAGCAACAAGTTGGCGATAGAAGAAGCATCAAAGATAGGAAGGACTTCAGGTGAACATAGGTAAAACAGAGGTGATGAAAATCCCTGGCCAACATCAATGGCAACAACAACAACAGACAACAATCAGCGACCATAAATGGAAGGAACCTGAAAGAAACAACCTCCTTTACCTACCCACCTGGGAAGCATCGTTTCAACTACAGGCGGAACTGACGAAGATATCAAAGCCAGAATCGGAAAAGCAAGGCAAGCTTTCACTACTCTCAGGTCTGTGTTGAGGTGAACAGCCCCACTCTGCATCAAAAATAACATCCGGATTTTCAAATCAAATGTGAAGTCAGTGCTACCTACTATACGGATCAGAGACTTGGCCAGTGCGTCATAAAGAGCACATCAAACAAACTATAGACTTTCATTAACAGCTGTCTTCGCTCACAACTACTCAACATCAGATGGCCGGCCAGAAAAGATCACCAACAGGGATCTCTGGCAATGAGCGAACCACCCCAGCAGGAACCGATTGTGAAACAAATAGGCAGGAAGAAAGGCAGTTGGTGGATTGGCTGGCCATACTCTGAGGAAACCATCAAGTGAGTGACATCATTAGACAAGCCATCGCTCGAAAGGAACCCGAAAGGGAAGCGGCTAGTTGGTCGTCGGTGTGAGGGTGACTTGGAGGAGGTGATGTGAAGAGGAGATGAAAGCATGTGGGCAGACTTGGAGCAGGGTGAAAAAGCTGGCAGAAAACTGAAGGCAATGGAGATGTGTGGCTGAAGCCCTATGTTCCTCTAGGAATTAAAGGATATAATTACATATATATATATATATATATATATATATATATGTTATGTTATCTAATATGAAATTACATTCTGTCATACTGCCCAAGTCTAAACTTACATTAATCCCGATACTATTCGTTTTACAATTATCTGTCTTCCAAATATAGATATTCATCACCTATTAATGTTGAATAGTCTTCTTCTGACTTTATTATGCCACTCCCTTAATAAGTCATACCAAATGACTGATTTCTAAAATATTCAGACCATAACTATTACAAATTTGAGCGTCAAGTCAGATCAAATCATTAAAAAGTCTTTTTTGATGTGATTGGTTGGAGGATTTCATCATGAGCTGACGTCAGTTAGAGAACCGTTGGAAAACCACCTTGGTGTATTGGACAGCTGTTTCGTCAGCTTAGTGTGGGACTTTCATCAGGACGCATCCGTCGCGCACTGTTCGAACCGTGGACCTTCTAGCTACAAGGCGAACGGGTAGACTATTAAGCCACTGGGATTCCATCCAATGACCAGTCCATGAGTTGCAACTTCTGTCAGTTCATGACATAGGCGACCACTTCGCTCAATGTCTTCCTCTTCGATGAGTTACTACCACACCTTCAACTTGCAGAACCCTACTGGTCATGGCTTCTCACTATAAGCACAGGTTAACTGCCTGAATAGGACCCTTTTATTCAATTTTAGACTTTGCCGCTGACGTGTCGACGGGAAAATCTAAAATTGAATTGAATAATTAATAAGGCCCTTTGCACATGAAAGAGGTGGCTCTCGTGACCCAAGGGTCTAGTGGATTACTCTTTGGCGTTTGAAACCATAGGCACTAGATTTGAGCCTCGGTGGGAACACCATCACCGACATACTGGGGAATGCAGGTACATCAAGATGATGATTCCCAAATAGGACGAAATGCGCATTGTCCTGGATTCCACTGCTAGTCACTACCAGCCTATTGACTTCAAGTTACATGAACAGGTATCGTCGAAACATCTACCGAACTGTCAACTTGAGACTGAGCACTTCGGTTCAATCAATCGACGGGCAAATCTAAATTTGAACTAAAAGAGATTGATATAAAGTCTAAGTATTTAGCATAATGTATTGATAATTTATAGTCAAACTCAAGTATTTCTATGGTCTTTCAATTTGAACTTTCTATAAAAGTATTTTCACTACAATCGAAGATGTTAAGAATTCGATTGTCACCTCTTCTGTAGATGATAATAAGAACTATTTCTAAGCATAATTTAAATATAAGAACAGTATTTCTACTTAGTAAAATCATATGAACAAATGTTGAAATTCTCTTCAGGCGAAAATTACAAAATAAATTATTCTTAAAACGCCATACAGTAAATAATGTCAGATTATTGCATGGAACATAAAAAGAATAAACGAACGTAGGGTTCTTTCTCCTTCATTTATTTTACTCTATTACCGCTTCTTCAGTTGATTCACAAGTGTAATCATGTTTTCTCAGTTCATAGTGCATATTAATGAATATAATACATTCCTAATTTCATCATTCTTGTGCACATTTCACCATTATTACATAGATGATTGAAACTAGGAGACTTCCCCTTGGTAACATCGATTAAAAAGATGTGTCGTCAATTTTTCAAGGGCTGATATCATATTCCAGACAATCCAGTGTAGTTCTGTAGTCAGCTCCGAGTGAAAAATATCGCATCAACAGCATATCACACTTCACATTATTCTCTGCAGTCTATTGTAGCTGACCCATAAGCTTTCATCTTCACTTCACCCAATTCTCTCCATGTTACCGTTCGACCCACGCCTAACTCTCTGTTTCTCATTCGAATTCCACTGGAGGGCAAGCCTGACGCATCTCCTTAGTGTCTATCCGACCTCTCTTCATTTCCTTCTACATATTTGTTGAACAATAGGTTCTTGGCTATTTTGTTGCCATTGTTTCTTGTCGCTACTTCTTTCTGGCTATCTGATCTTAAGGATAGAGTCCTTGAAGTTAACTGTTGGTGGAAGTCTGCAATGATCCATTGGAAACGCTTCTGGAACGCGTGAAGTGTGTGAAATGTACTGACTAGGCAATATCGAAAACCTGAATCTTGTTCCTTCTGCTAGGTGCTACATTTCTACACACTTATACCACAGTAATGAAGGCCTTTTTCCTTCTCTGATCCTGTCTTCTTATAAGTCATAGTAACAAAAGCGGTGGTTGTTGTCACTTAGTGAACACAATCACCTGACTTGCATTTTCGGTGCCTAGTTCTACCTCCATTGGCCTATTCAGACTACCTGCCTCTAAATTACTAGTAAGATGATTCGTCAACCTTACGTAAAAATCGAGATGCTAACCAGATCATCATTTGACGTTCAGTACTCAGCTGTCAAGACTTCTCCTGTCAATTCTAATCAATAATGGGTCGCAAGGACAGAAAAGAAACAGGAACAGAGTATTTATCTCTGTAATTCCTAAAATCTTCATTGATTATTTTCTATGCCTACAGACTATGTTTATTCTACTGTGTAAGGACGTGTAGAACGTATGTAACAAGCTAAACACAACTGGTGACAGGTATAAGTAAGCATAAAAATTCAGGTTTATTAAAGTTTTTTCCACTATCATCATTGTAATCACACTATAATTATATCGACGTTGTTGCTTGCATAACCTTCAATATTGTAGCAAAAATAGTCTATCATAGATAGAATCAATTTATTTGGCCAGACATTTCTGCTGTCTACAATAGAAAAGGCCCATAGGGAAAGTTGAATTATATTTGAATTACGTGTATATAGTTGTATACTATCCATACATACAAACAAACACAGTTACGACTTACATATATTCAACCAATCATATACGTTAAATCCTTCCCAATATACAAATCAAATACGCATACATGTCCACAAGTCAGATAAATATGTGAATGACCAAACAGATTAACTATTTTAAGCAGAAGCAGGCTATAATAATACCATGTCTATGTGTCCCTAACTATTGATTATCGAATGGTCTGATTGCCTTCACAACATTACTACTACTACTATTTTGAGTGAGCGTAGATAGACATACTGAGATAGACAGATATAGGCAGTTAGATATACACTTACCAATAGCTATGCTAATTTCCCTACCTAGCTTTGAATATTTCCCTAATATGCTATACAAACGGCCCCCAGTTATATATATATATCTATTGAATAGCGTCCATATTTTAGATTCTTTTCTTTTTTCCATACAGTGAAAACCAATAAGGCCGGATAGTTTGGTTTGTGTGCATGCATGTATGTAGGTTTATTAGTCCGTGTCCGATACATGCGTGTTTATAGATAAAAGTTAGTTGGATAGACCAGTTGTATTTTAGTATTTTAGATTGTAGACGTCATTCTGCTTTTTCCTACCTGAGTGAGTGAGTGACTGAGTAAGCCTAGATTCTTAGGCTAATAGCAGCAGCAACGACAGCATACACCACACAACAACAAAGACAGAGAGAGAAAGAGGGAGAGAAACAGCAAAAATAATTTTTGGCTTCATTCTGAAATCAATAATATTCTTTCACATAATATTCTATATTCCTCATTACTAATAAACCGCATCTACTGAATAACAGACGATTTTTGACACAAACTTGGGATTCTGTTTCGTCATAAAGGAAATATTTACAATATTATTCATATATAATATATTTCACATACTTTTGTCTTAAACCTGCTTTTACTCTCTACGCTTATACACTGTCAAGACATTGGAATATAAAATTGTATCATACAATACAATAATATTCAACTAATAATAATAATAGCAGCAATAACAACATAAAATGGGCTGTACATTGTCGAAAGAAGAGCGTGATGCTCTTGAACAAAGTCGTAATATAGACAAGAAACTGAAAGAAGATGGAATGCAAGCTGCCAAAGATGTGAAACTGCTTCTTTTGGGTAAGTTTTTTTAAAAACTTTTTCTGGATCATAATCGAATTGAATTGCCCTTTTACAGTTTTCTTTGTCCTCTCCTATTTGTCGTAGAGGAGAGGACAAAGAAAACTATAAAACCTAAGTTTCTAAGTCGTGTGATTATAGCTGATATGAATATGAACAATAAATTTTGTTCGAAATATTGTCATCCAGTAAATAATAATACTGTTTCATTGTGTGATACATCTAATAAACAAACTAATATGGAATTACTTACTACCACAGTGCCCAAGTTTTACACATATATGAATTGAATCACCCATTCATCTGTTATATTTCTTGTCAGTTGGTGGTACAAAATTAGAGAGACACTGCAGCATAAATAGGATTCTTTTTGGATGATTTAAAGGAAAACATTGGTGATACTTAATTCCGCGAAATATCGATCCGGCTAGGAGACACTACTGATTGATGTGGGTGGGTTAGGGTTAGATCACACTCAGATCATATAGTGTGATCCGAATAATTTCAGTTCCCAAGGGAAACTGTGGTGGTGAAATCTCCTATTTATGATGTCACGAGTTGGTTTCAATCAATCGATGGGAAAATCTAAGTTGAATTAAATAATTATGAAGACCCGTTGCACAAGAGGTGGCTTTCGTGACCTAAGTTTTCGAGCGGCTAACGCGTTGGCGTTTGGAACTATGAGCACTAGGTTCGAGTGTCGGTGTGAATACCATCACTGACTCACTGTAGGAATGTAGGTCCCAAATAGAACGAAATGGGCGTTGTCCTGGCTTCCACTGCTAGTCACAATCCACCAGTTGACTTCAGGAAATCAGGTGGTCTGAACTGAATGAAAGCGACCCCAAAACGAGCTAAACAGCCCCCCGGTGTTTAGATCAATACGATCTAGCTAGCAAGCAAGCACTACTGGTCGACGTGAGTAGTACACAACTACTCATCTCGACCAATCAGTATAGTATATAGCTCCATGAATCACACTTACTGGGGGTTGTAGATTTTCAAATCATGTTTAAATCATCCATTAAATAAATTCACAACACTAGTGAGGTTAGATGAAATGTTGAAGTATTTGAAAACAGTGCTTCACGTTCTGTGATGGGTTGATTGACTGCGCACAAGAAGTTTATATGTAATTTTGGTAGAAGCGATCGACTTTCCTGTCATCCTACATTGATGAACTAAATAGATTGATTCAAAGCCATCTTGACAGATTAGGGTACTATTGTGATTGAATTTCTGTTTTAAATCATCATTCCTTTAAAAGTCAACTGGCACTTACCAGTTGCAAAGAGCTTCTAACCAGCAATTTTCACGTGTATATATATATTTAACAGATGGACATATATTGGAGTAAATATAAATTTGAAGCTTTGGCTTACACAGTGAAACGTTCAGAAAACAGATCTTGTTTTGATTTTTTTTCTTAAACATGCTGGGGATATTTTAAATAATATGTGGTGATTCAACCTGATTTGGCGGTCAAATTATTCCAGGAAATTTGTAATATCTACCGTCTAGAAACTTACATTTGTTTAATCTAAATTTATAACTAGCTCGTAATCGCATAATATTTGTGCACAAAAAACTTACTTAAATGGCTATACTCTGAAGGATTCATGTAATTCAGACGTTTAACGGATAACCTGCACGATAGTGTATTTCCACTTGTATACCCGTATTCAGTCTATAGTATGAAAATTTACAGGATTTCATAATGAGGTGACATTGGTTTGTGCAGCGGGTCGGGTGTAAGGACAAATACTCGTTGAAGACATTGGCTAGGGGTCACGCTATGTCGTGAATTGGCAGAAGTTAGAATTCATGGGCTGGCCATTGGATCGGTTCCCAGTAGCCTAATGGTATACAAGCTCGCTAGGCTTGTAACCAGAAGGTCCTGGGTTCGAACCCCATGTGGTGGGTACGTACTTCTGAAGAGTCCCAAACTAGGCTGACGAAACAGTTGTCCAGTACTCCCTGGCATGTTTTCCAATGGTTCTCTAACTAATGTCAGCTCATGATAAAATCCTGTAACCAATCAAATTCCTACAAACGAACACTTGAGTATGAAAATTTGTCAGACATCTTCATTAGGTTTCTTCGGTATTTTTTATTTTTGTATAGATAAATCTTAACACACCACATTTTTGTTTAATTTTGTACTTTTAATATACTTAGCAGTCTTTTCAAGGTAGCCATTAGAATGTAGATCAATATTAGCACATAGATTGAACTAACCATTCTCTCTGTCTTCAATGAGATGAGGGGCTGTTTTATTTTTCATTTTGTTAGTGAAGAAGCTCTACTCTTTGCTTCACACTCCTAGATGTACATATTTTGAAAGAGAAGCAGTTAAAAAGAAATCCTTTCTTCAAGGAGTCCTTATAAAATAAATTATTTAGGTTTTTTTTAAACATTTATTCCTTTTGGTGAATTTCAACAAAAGCAAGAGAACAACCGTTTGTTTACAGAATAGAATGCTACCATCATTTATCTCGTTGGCTTCTCTCATCAGCTGCGTACAGCCTAAAGACATTATTGTTAAGTTTATTTATGTACAGAAGAATTTTAAGAATTAGTTGCAAATTTTACACGATACCAGCTGATAGAAGGTTTCGAACTTACTTAATAAACGGTGTACACCTTAAATAAAAATAAAACAAGAAATAGAAGCGAACAATATTGTTGTTTTCAATTAGATCTTCATCAGGCTTCACTCTAATTTACGTAGATTTATATATAAATTTTTTAATCAATGACGGTGATTTTGTGGATCAAATAATAATAATAATGTGGTAAATGTTTTGAACGTAATTAATAACGATGATTACAATGATAACAAAATTTTGATAATAAAATTTATGCAGGTGGTGATAAGAATAACAAAGGTAGTAAGCAATATGCGTATATGTAGACAATTCAATAAATAAATTAGGTCATATCTTAAAAGTTACGTAATACTAAAGTGAAGTGGACAGATAATCAGAGTTTAAATAAATATCATAAAAGTAGGAAGGAGATGGAAAATAAGAAAGGGTGGGGGGGGGTTGAATGGAGTTCACCTAGGCCAAGGAAGAAGCGACTAGGATTATCCTCTCGAATTCCCATTGCTTCGGCTATGTGTAAAAGACGCAAGGCTCAATGGAATGCGATAGATAACTTTGAAGGCATTATTTCTGTCCATTTGGTGACCGCTATTAGAATAAAAATAATTGTTCGTATACAATGGTAACAGTTACGTAACAAAGACAAAATGTGAATTACATGATGAATAACTAATCAGTTGAGTAACAATGTTATAGTGAGTTCAAATCAAATCATAGGAATAAGAGACAAATAAAGTTACACTATGTAACTGGATGGGTGTTATAACTGTAGTACAACAATATAGACAGCTGACAGCATTGAAATAATTGATCGTAATAGTCAATAACAAGTGCGGAGAAATGATAATCGTGGGTGGGTGGGAGAAGTTAAAGAGAATCAAGAAATCCAGTTACCAGAATGGGGAAGGAAAGACTGATAACTGCTTCTTGCTGAACACACACACACATACGCAAATCGAGTTTCAGGCGTTTGGATAAAGATTGCTTCGGGTAACTTAGAGAGATAACTGAAATATTCTGTTAATTAATAATTTTAAAGGATTTCATGAAGTCCACCTAAGTAGAAGGTTTGTGACATCTGCATGAACATCACCGCTAAAGCGGTACACATTCAATGTATCTGAGTTAGCTTCACAAACTGTCAGAGATGCTACAAATATTTTATTATTGTTTGTTTAGTGGTGTTAATTTCACACAAAAACAATATTTTCAAGTATTGATTTGTAGGGATTTTGTTTGATTGGTTGAAGGATTTCATCATGAGCTGACATTGGTTGGAGAATTATTGGAAACCGTAGGAGTACTGAACAGGTGTCTCGTCTAGTTTGGGACTCTTCCTCAGTCCGCACTCACCACAGGAGTTCGAACCCACAACCTTCTGGTTACAAGGCTAGCAAGCTCGTAGATCATTAAGCTACTGGGACCCACCACTCCAATGCCAGTGCATGAATTCTAACTTCTGCTAATTAATGAAATAACGCGACCACTTTGCAATGTCTTCGATGAGTAATTGTCCTTACCTTCGATCTGCTGTTCCCTACTGGTCATGGCTTTACACTAGAACCCTAGGCTAACTACCTGAATAGGGCTGATTGGAGGATTTCATTATGAGCTGATATCGGTATTTCACAGAAGATCGGAGCTATTGTATTTTTGTTAATTGATACACTTTTCGTACGCTTTAGAATGTACATTTGGATATTGAGTGAATACCACTCATTAACTTCTTAGTATGACCAAAAAAGGATTCGGTTGAGCACAGGGTGTTAGTAATAAAATGCAAATATGGAGAATACATAAACGCGTCGGTGGCACAGTGGTTAGGACTCTCACCTACCATACACATAGTCCGAGGTTCGATCGCCTGCCGAAACACACCTGATATCTGTTCTATGGTCGGCCTGCGAAATTTGGGCTACCGATATCACATGCTGAAAATTCCATACTTGTTCCAAAAATACGGTGTGGAATGAAGCTGTAATCAAAAATAAGTAAAAAATAAAAATGAATCAAAAGGAATACAGTGTGTACAGTTTTAAAGCTGATGACAAAAACTAACGTTTCCCTCAGTTGAAAGTCATTATCCACTGTTAGTAACGCCTCGACATCTACAGTCTAGCAATCTGCTTCTGTTTTGAACACGAACTCATGAAATTAGTATCATATCTTGATTTGATCACTTCTGTGAAATTTGTTTGGTAGTGGCTAAAAATGGAATCCACCAAGCAAAATAACTTCCAATTATGGGATTTGTGGAGACTGGCATTAATTCCAGCTGTTAGATTTCTCCACGAACTGAAATTACTTACAGGGATTATTGAAAACCAGGGAGTGGGGCACTAGACAGGTGTTTCACCCCAGTTTGGGACTTCTCAGATGTGCGCTCCCACACAA